CCGAGGGCGTGGTCCGGCCGACCCGCGTCCCCCCTGCCTGTGAGCCTCGGCCCTCTGCGGGGACACGGGGATGGGAGGGGGAGCGGGGGTCTCTGGAGGTGGTAGCCCTTCGGAGCCCATCTCACCACCCCCTGCACCCCCAGGTTTGGCAGAGCCAGGCATGGACATGGGCGAGGAGCAGCTCTACGAGCACATAAAACCCGTCGTTGATGGCGCCAACTTCATTGTCAAGCACATACGGGAGAAAAACAGCTACAATGAGGTAGGGGACGTGGGCATGGGGGGGGGGGCAGAGGGGGCTCCCTGTGCCCACTGTGCTCCTGGCTTCCTCCCCAGGAGAAGGACAACTGGAACCTTGTGGCCCGGACCTTGGACCGCCTCTGTCTCTTCCTCATCACCCCCACGCTGGTGGTGGGCACCCTCTGGATCTTCCTCATGGGCATCTACAACCACCCACCACCGCTGCCCTTCGCTGGAGACCCCTATGACTACCGGGAGGAGAACATGCGCTTCATCTAGGGTCGGGGAGGTGTCCATGTGCCAGTTTCCTGCTCACCCGCCTTGGCTTGGGGAAATAAAGCTGAGCACTTCTCACCACAGGGTGCTGAGCTGGTGGGTCCTCTCGGTGCCTCCCCTGGGCACGATGCCCAACCTGAGCACTGTGTGTGTGCCAGGGAGGGTGATGCGCATCCAGAAAATGGGTGCTGTTGGGTGTCCTGAGCACGGTGGTCCTCAGCCGTGGCAGGAAGGGGTTGTTTCCCAGAGGGGATGTGGTGGTACCAGCCCTGCTGTCCCCGTTTGGCTGGACACTCGCCAGGGCAGGAGGGGCTGTAGAAGGGGGTGGACCCCCCCCCAGCACGGCACCACCCCCTGCGGACCCACTGCAGTGGGAAGAGACGCCTTGAGTGCCCACATCACCCTCCATCCCCATCACCCCCCAATCAGAGCCCCCTTGGCACATCCCGTCCAGCGGCACTCGGCTGGGGGCCAAGAGGGGCGTCTCCTTCCCCGGCTCAGCAGTGGGACACTGCGGCTCGCATTTCAGGGGGCACAGCTGACATCCCCCCCACCAGCAGTGGCCCAGGACAGCTGTCACCTCCTCTCCGCTGAGCCAGGAATCTCATCCCCCCCTCCCTGACCGCCCTATGCAGGTCCTGGCAGGATTTGGACCCCCAAGCCGGCCATTGCTCCCCAGGCTGAC